ACCAGCGGCAGCAGCAGCGGCAACCAGCAGCAGCAGCAGCAGCAGCAGCAACCAGCAGCAGCAGCAACCAGCAGCAGCAACCAGCAGCAGCAACCAGCAGCAGCAACAGCAACTGCAACAGCAACAGCAAGCAGCAGCAGCAGCAGCAGCAGCAGCAGCAGCAGCAGCAGCAACCAGCAGCAGCAGCAGCAACCAGCAGCAGCAACAACCAGCAACCAGCAGCAGCAGCAACCAGCAGCAGCAGCAACCAGCAGCAGCAGCAGCAGCAACCAGCAACCAGCAGCAACCAGCAACCAGCAACCAGCAGCAACCAGCAACCAGCAGCAGCCGCAGACCTTGTTCGTATTAGCGAACCTTGTCACGGCTCGTGGGGCACCTGCTACTAGAAGCGATGCACTCGTTCCTAGTCGAATGGGAAGATAGCGGTGACTCGAGCCTAATCCCGTCCGGCCTCAAGCCTGATGTGTTGCATCACACGACAATGGTCATGTCAGGGAAACGTAGTGTTGCACCGGAACGTCCGGCGTCAAGCCTGATGTGTTGCATCGCACGACAATGGTCATGTCAGGGAAACGTAGTGTTGCACCGGAACAAATCACTGCAGATATAGACACGACATGTGCACGGCTCAGGCGCCGAAGACCAAGTCTTTCAGTCCATTTTTGAACCTTAGTTCGATCGTTCTTTCATCCTTGTTTCTTTACTTCTTGTTTTGCCTGGACCTTTGGCTTCATCGCCTGCTGACGCATGGCCGCTCCCGACGACGCGGTGGCGGCTTTCCTTGAGGCGCTGCAATGCGGATGAGCACCAGCAAGAAACACTGCATAGAATGTTCCCTGTTAGCCCACAAGGAACCCCGATTTTCCCAGGGATTGATTGCATTTTTTTTTAGCTTGGGGGATGGAACTGGTTCAACTGCTGCAACCCCCCGCAAAGGGTTAAAAAAACACCCAGCCTGTTCTTTCAGGCCAAGACTGTGGCGGAAGCCTACGTGACCTACCTCACCACTTTGTACCCAAATGGGCCTCAATCACTTCAGGGCCTCGTTCCGCCCTCAGTTTCACTTGCCCTGCTTAAACAGCATGACATATATATATATATAGTTATTTGCTGTCTGTGCATCTTTATGTCCCACACCCCCACTTGCCGGCGCTCAGGCGACTGAGTATCAGCTTGCTTGGACATTTGGCCGCCCCGGCAGCTGGACGCTTGCCTTGTACGCGGGAGGTGGACGTGACGGCTTGGAGCAGGCCTTCATTCACCTACAAGAGCTTAGCGCGTGGAAGCTCGCAGAGCTACACCTCCAGGATGTCGCGCTGGCAGGATGCTAATACGCTCACAAGTTTTACAAACAAGACCACCCCTGAGCAGTGGTTCCAAAGAAGACTGACAGACCCAATCACAGCCCCACTTCAAGGATCACCAACCTGCACGACTGTGACCTTCTCGCCTTTCTTCACAGAAACCTATTTTGTTAGCCAAAGTACCACTGACCCCCACTCCCAACGATATCCAAACACCACACCGTTTCAAACCCCCAAATGCATGGTGTTTGCCCGGCCGCGTCCTATGGTGCCACCATGTTCACCACAACGGCTTCAGAGTTGACACGGTAGGCCTGAAAAGAAAGAAGCCTCCAAGGAGTGCTGCATTATGTTGGATATCTTCTACTCGACGAAGAATTCTTCTACTGGTTCTCATGCAGCTTTGTGCGACTAACATACTAAGGTATTGCCAGGTGCTTGCCATCGCAATTGGCCTTGCACGCCTAAGAAAAGGCTTCAGGCGGCCGGAAGTTCTAGCCTTTGCAACACCCCAGATTGTTGCAAACTGCCCCTCCATAGGTCAGGTGGCAGGCTCCCGAGCATGTACCCGTGGGACACCGCACCACGCACAGTCTTGACGTGTTTCTGTTACCCCTGCCCAGCCTAGGCCTTCCCTCCCCACCATGCTACCTTTCGTCCACCCCCGTCTCCTCAAGTCCTCTCCACTCTGGCTGGGTCCTTCGTATTTGGCCCCTCGTTGCTCCCTTGTTTGTGCCCGTGAGACTGCAGTCTTGTTTGACGCCGTCACTTCCTATGAATCTTCTGCAATGGCTCGTGCGGGTGATGTCTTCCTGGTGGATTCTGCTACTACTCTTACTGACGGCTTTTTCATGGTTTCTGTCCAGTGCGGTGCTGTTGAAGCTCGCTTCCTGAAGCTAGCGTCCTCCAAGGATCTCCAAGTGAACCCTGGCCTGGTTGTTCTGGACTTGGATGTCCCGTCTGCCCAGTGTCCACCTTGTCTGGCGCGCCATGGTTCCTTCTCGGCTCGTTCTGGCTTTGTGACCGGGACTGCAGTCGGACCAGGATGCATTCCGTGGGATTCCTCTTTGCGCCCGTTTTTGTATCCTGGTTTTCCTGTTTGCAAGATCCACAGGCTCAAATCCGTTTTGCTTTCGTCGCATCCGCAAGTGGCTCCTCTTTGGACTTGTCGCTCGATCATGAATGTTTTAGGTCCC